CCCTTTATTATTATCCGATTATTTCGTTACTTTGATCACGATTCATTCTCCATTTTATACGATTAATTTATTATTCATACATTTGTAAACTTTCCACTCATCCGATTCTTCCAATATTTCCTTCGAAAGTTCAATGATCCTTTAATCGTTTTAATTAAAGTTAATGGCTCGTATACGCGCAATCTCCTTTCCGCCATTTTTACTCGAGGCCGGCATTTTAATAATCCTCCAGAAAAAGTTTCATTGATTCCGATGAATTAAATTCCCATCTAATTATAATCTTCCCAACGAATCATCACTTCTTAACTCGTCGAATTTTTTTCACTTATCACGAATCGAATGATCATTTCTTCTTCATCCTCGAAGACTTCAAGGATTATTTAACAATTAACAAAGCGCAAGCTTCTGATAAAAAAAGATTTGCTCGCGAAATCGAAGCTTTGAAATTTTTGTTGTATGTATTATGGATGTTCACGTTTATCGAACGTGATTAATATCTAATTTGAATTCGAATAAATTACTTTGAGATCTCGTCTCAAAGTCGAAATCTGTGGAATATTTGCTTTCGATGGACACGCCTATACACGCCGTATTTTCCAAAATATCAATTTCGATAAAGGTAATGACGATTTACACAAGCGGTCGTATTACGTAAATTATTCGAACGACTTCAAAAGTTGATTAATATTTGAGAGATATGTACATGTTATATCGTTCATGAATTACACAAACTTTAAAGTTTGGAAACAGAAATAAATGTGTAATATAATGTTATTTATAATGGATTAAAAATATATTTATATTAGATGAAAGATTAATAAATGATTTTATTTGAGAAAGTAATCAAAAGTGAGTTTACTTATGGCAGTTCAATAATTTTAGATAATGTATTTGAGCTAATTTCTTGAAAATATTCGGTGATTCATGAACAGAAATGGAAAAAAAATAGTGAACTCCTTCTGTGAATTACAATTTCCAATTCAACAAAAGACGATTACAATTATTTATCGAGTTTGAATGAAAATTCAATTTCTAGTTTCAATTTTTTAGCAGTATATAGTTATCTATATTATATTCGACTACTAAAAATTATTAAAAATAGCTTTAATAGCTATAGAAAAAATTGTAAGGCAAGGATAGGTGACAATCGATACTTTCACTCTAATTCCATTCGTTAAAATTTAAAACAAATTTTGATTTTTAACATTTCGACAATTAATTAACTTTCAAAATTACTATAAAAATTTAATTTTCATTTATATATTTTAAAGATAGAACGAATATTTTATCTTTAAAACCCAATCAATATTAAAAATCTATTACCATATTTTTGCAAATTTGCAATAACATAATTTATATTTCCACATTGAAATAAATAAATGTCCCTAAAATTCCCTATCTACTTCCGGATCACAATCCACAAGTCCAAAGAGCCACCAGTATTAGAATAAAGAATTAGAATTAGAATTAGAAAAAATAGAAAAAAAAAAAAAATATCGATACCTAAGTCGTTCGATAAATTATATTATAAATTATATCCTTATCCAATCCCTTCGAATCTTAATCTTCAAAAAATTTCTTCAAAATCGCGTGTACACTTAAATAAATAGGTGACACCCCCGAGCGATAGAGAAGGAGGGGGGTCTCTCTCTCTTAGGCAAACGTGTACTTTGGAGGCCTGCATCGATGATAGTCTTATGTATCTTCTTCCCGGCTGTTTGCATCAACCGGTCGTAAACGCTCCGTTACCTTTTTGTTTCCGGCAGTGGTGATAGCCCCAGCTGGGTA